CATTATAGAGGCCCTCCCAACCCCTCTTTTCAACAAGGTCTTTTATTTTTAGGCCGTAAACAACATATGCGTTGTTTTTTCGGGTTTCTTCAAGAAGGTCGAAGAAGTTCTTAATTTCGGCTTCCCTCTCGGTATCTACCTGACCTCGTATATCCAAACATTGTTCTCCGCACAAAACTCTCAAAGGAACCTCGCAATATCTTTTTGCCACGGTGTCACACATGGCATTAATATTTACGTCGATGGGCTCCTATAGTATTTAATAGATATATATATATTAGTAAAAAAAAAAAAAAAAAAAAACCCCCAAAAAAACGTTAAATATACCGTAGAAGCTTCATTATTTGAACTATTATTGGGGCAACTCCCCATGAGTCACTGTTCTTACTGCAACCTTGTTGTCCATGAACAGGGTTACCCACGAATGTTTTCGTTAAAATATGAACTCTACAACTTTTGTTATAGTTGCAGAGTAAGTTGTGAAAGCCGTTTGAGAGAAAAATCTACTTATACTCTTTTATTATCAAAACTAACCCTAAACCCTAATCTATTAAAAAAAAAGCCACCCCAAAAATTTCTGAAAATTTCATAAAATAATTAAAATTTCAAACTTCAGCCGCGACATTAGTCAGCTACCATTACTGTAACTTATATCTACGACTTCCCCTAAGGTATAATGTGTTTCACATGACAAATTATTAACCCGTATTCCATTTAAATTTTTTGAAATAATTGGAATGGTTCAAATGAGGCCCATTCCAATTTGTCCATAAGTCCATTGAAGGCACGATACTGGTAATTTAAAACCGAAACGTTACAATAAACCATAACTTAATTATTACGTTCGGCTCCCAATGCTTAAAGTTTCTACTGCATTACTAATTGCAATCTTATGGTGATGGTGATGGAGCTTTGCTTCGCTCAGTTTCATCACCACCAAAAATTTACCAGATTTATTGTATAATTGAGACAAATTTAATAATGAAGATTTAATATAATTATAAAATAATATACATCAACCCGTGATACTAGAAAAAAAACAACTAGCTAGTTTAAAAAAAAAAACGTCAACTGTTTTCCAGGCAAATCTGCTTGGAAATTTTGTTATCAAATGATTGATCAGATTCTTTTTTTAATCATAATTATCGTTAACGAACATAGATTTACCAGGTGATCATGATATTGCAAGTGTCGGTACGATAACTATTAAAATAATAATGCCTGTGACTTGCGCAAACTTGGTTATAACACGAATAAAAAATTTCGACCACAGGTTGGGACAGTTTAGAAATAGTAAAAATTTTCCAGCCTGGAAATGATCTACATATTAAGGGATATATTCATTTTCTCACTGTCCGTTGGAAGAATATCAAAGTTATGGTCGCAGAAAGTATTATCTCCTTATTTTTACCATATTACATATAGTACGTTGCAACTCGTGTAATGACACAGACATTTCTAGAGGCTCTGTTCTGGGTCCAGTCAGTGATTCAATTCGTGTACGTGAATTTTTGATTTAATTAAGTCGCGTTTTGTTAAAAATTAAAGGTATATACGATTTATAAAGACTTACCATTTCTTTATACTTAGCAACTAGTCCGATATGGCAATAGTAATTTACCATCATTAAAAATAAAAACCGAATTATTTCATCAAAATGATTTTATCAAAATGATTTCATCAAAATGATTTCATCAAAATGATTTCATCAAAATGATTTTATCAAAATGATTTCATCAAAATGATTTCATCAAAATTATTTCATCAAAATTATTTCATCAAATTATTTCATCGAAATTATTTGCATTTTTCATATAACATTTCAACCTTACTACATCGTTTATTAATAGCGGAAAACATTGCAAGAAGACACAAACACGGTCTCTGAGAAAGTATACATTATATAAGTGCCGTCAAAAGAAAATCTGTCATCGACTTTCAATTATATTTTGTGTGCAGTAGCCGTCTATGAAAAATCCATCATCATGATAGATTTTCCATAGACGGTTAACTATACACAAAATATTATTGAAAGTTCGATGACAGGTTTTCTTTTGACAGCACTCATATACAATTTGCAATTTCAAACATCTGCATATGATATGCACTTGATTAGATAATTATGTTGATATCTTTAAAGGTTGATTACAATGAGGTAATTATTATATAGCTTGAATTCAATTGTTTATTATTAATAAGAGGCTGATATTAACGAGATTGAGGATCAAGTGGTTATGTATAGAACTTTCGAGTGTCGTTTACAATCACTTCAAGGGCAACCCAGAAGAGGAAAGTTTAGGATTTCGATTAAAGTAAGTTTATTCAATTAAGGTTTGATTATGATTTTTATGAGAAGAAATGCAGATATTCAAAAGGCTTTGGTTGATCGTTTACACGAATATAATGTAATCAAAGATATTGGTCAAAATGCTGTTTGGAAAAGGGACATCAAACCATTCGAATCCATTTTTTTCACGCACATATTTTTACACACGAATTATAAATGAAGTGCGGTTTGGATTGATTGAAAATCGGGTATATCGATCGATATTATCAGTATATTTGGTATAAGACTCGAATACATTAAAAGTTTTTACTTTCGAAAATATTGTAGTTTTCAGGTGTATATTTAAAATTTATACAGTATATTGCAACATTGACGTTAAATGATTATATATAAGAATGTATATTTTTTTCAAATTTAACTCCAGTGGTTTACGTAATTGCCTGCTTCTTGACTTCTTATAAAATGTAATACGATTTGAATTCTTTATTTATTGAATCTATAATCGAAGATTTTTTTAAGACTATATATAGTTGATTGTTTTCATCATGATTGATATACCAACATTTATATGTATTCAGAAATCATTTGATGCACTGTAAATTGAATTCGACCAGCTGAAGTTAATTTTCTTGTTTCTTGAAACATTAAATAGTTATGTTAGTTTTAAAGCCATTAGTCATTCTATAATGCAAATTTTATCTATTTAAACTTATATTTAGTTATGGCGACGGAAATTTCTAACGCAAATTTTCTCGTGATGACCAATATAATTTTTCAAATCGCTAGAACTTTTATATATATATCAAGTTTAGATTTGACACTTTATTTCGAAATAATTCGCAAGCAGACAAAATTACTATTATTTTCGCGACTAACATTGTTAAAATTTTTTATATTTAATATTTTTAAAGTGCACATTTATATTTATTAAATAATTTATTAATCATACAATTAAAAACTACAGTATAAAAATTTTCATATACTAAATATGCTAAACAAAATAAATATTAGTAAATAAGTTTTTGAGATACTTGGTTTCGGAGACTATATCTCCTACTCGTCCCAACCACCACGTAGAGGTGTATCTCATCGGTTGGGAAGATATAAATACTTTGTGGTTTTTCGGCGTTGAAGCAAACAACAATTATATAACCCGGCCCTACAAAAAAGAAAAGTACACCGAAAGACACTCCATATTTATACCCCAACCAATTTCTTCTGTATCTCCCGTACAGAAGCTGGTTGTTCTTCTTTGAAGTGTTGTTTTTAATAATAAACCTTCTAGAAGCTTGTTTACTATAGTTCACCTACGAAAACCTCTACTTCGCAGTTTTTTAACTGTTTTTAGATTTGGGGAAAAACGTAACCGGCTCCTAATGCAGAACCAGTAAACCCAATACCGGGGAGATAAAAAACCAGACATCAAACAAGGAAGAAGAGGCGAACTTAGCAGGAGACGAAAAACAAAAACAATTACGTCGCGCCTTATACTGTATTTGTTTTGTTTATCATGTTATACTTGATCATCTGATCTTAATTTTTACCCGTGATTGCCCGTGATAATTAACCAACAGGAGCGACCGTCATCGTTACACAAATTACAGATCACTTCCGAGATCCTCCCACCCAATCAAAATTACGAATTTTAAGGATAGTATTGATACGAAATCAAACGAAATTTGAATTAAAATTGTCAAAATTTATATTTTAAACTTTAGAGTAAAATACTTTAAACATTACAAAAATA